ATATGTTAGGATGCAAATCTCTTCTAGATTTTAATATATTTCTATATATAATATATATTTAATATAAAAATTTACAATATAAACTATTATTTAATATTCATAATATCTGCATTTACAATATAGAAAAATAATTTATGTAACTGACACTATATATTAAGATAAATATTTGATGATATTATTATTATTGATGTAATATTCATCATATCTATATTCAACAATCACGCATTGTTTATGTCAATTACATTCAAATATGTTATTTTTTTCAATACTATCTAGCAATTGCTAGTTGTCACATAATACTAACAAGTAAGAAACCACATGCCAACTTTACAAGCAATTGTTAAGGTCAACTTTTAACCGCTTCTTATAGTTGTTTTTTAGTACAAAAATTAAAAATTTATACCAAAATTTTCCTTTAAAAAACAGTAAAAAAAAGCTATCACAAAGAAAGCCTTAATCTATCATTCAATTCTAACCACAAATTTCAACATTTTATGTAAAGAACTAAATAGAAAATATTTTACAAGACACTCTATTCTACGAAAAATTATTCTGTGCGTATGCCGAATGTCGTCCAGAGCCCAATAAAAATGTGCCACATCACCCATACTCAGTACTGCGGCTTGGTACTGCTCTGTACCGAGCTCGATACCCTGCTCGGTTCGCTCGGTACTAGATGACATGGCTACACCTGATTCGTCTCAAGGCACTCTATTCTACGAAAAATTATTCTGTGCGGATGTCGAATGCCGTCCAGAGCCCAATAAAAATGTGCCACATCACCCATACTCAGTACTGCGGCTTGGTACTGCTCTGTACCGAGCTCGATACCCTGCTCGGTTCGCTCGGTACTAGATGACATGGCTACACCTGATTCGTCTCTAAATATCAGGTTTTCGCACAGAATAATCTCTCATATTCTATAAAGTATATTCATCATATTTTCTTTCTATCTATGTATTTTTCTTTAACTATACATTCAGTACAAATGGGCTTTATCCATTCTTTTCATACAACTATGCGAGCAATCAGTTCGGCGGTTTCATTATGAGGACCTGATGAGGCCCAGATTGCTTAGATTCCGCATCACCAAGCTGCCCAGGCGCAGCAACCCCCCGCTACCGGACGACGGTTCGTCCCGGTCCGAACCGGACTTCATCTTCCCGGTTCGCAATGGCCGGTCTTCGCAGGCCTTGAGGCAGTCGTCGCCGAAGCGTTCCATGACAGCTTCTATCGTCTTTCGGCCGGGCAGGTGGCCGCCGGCGTCGGTCACGTAGAAGACGTTTACTGCCGTCTCTCCTTTCGTCGACATCTCTGCTCTTGTCACCGTTAGACCGTTCTCCCTGAAAGTTCTAGTTGCCTCGGCTACAGTCAGCGGATCCGCCGAGCAAAGCTCCAATCTCAAACCCTAATCAAACGAACAAATCAATAATATGCTGTATAAGGAATCGGATGTTGGGGAAGCAGAGAGTAACCAACCTCGGATGCTCTGCGCTCGATGGCTGCTTGCAAGCACTGGACCACTCTCTGCCGCTCCGCTTCGGAGCAAATCGGGCTCCCATCCGAGTGCCGCATGTAGAATTCCTGAGAGAAAAATCGAATTTATTACAATTGAGACGAATCTACGATTGAGTCCATAGACATGGAAATAGGAGAATGGAGATGGGAAATTACTTGGTAGGCATGATCGCCAGTGGTGTCGATCGTGCCGTGGAAAATGACGTATCCCATGTCCGTGATTGTGCACAGGACGTCGAAAAGGAGCTTCGGGCGGTCGCTGCACTGAACGTTGACGATGGAATAGCCCCGTTCCGTCCAGTTCTGAACGGAAACGGATGGTTCTCCGGAGGCCACGGCTCGCTCGTAGTCGCGATCGGCGAACATCAGCTGATGTATGCGGCGATCGGCGTTTGTGCCACGGAAGACGTAGGAGGCTGAGGAAGACGACAAGGCGGTGGTGGATCCACGGACGACGTACCCGAGGCGAGCCTGGATATGACGAATCTTGTCGGAGTCCTCGATTGGTAAGCCGGAGTCCTCCTCCTCAACGAAAAGGAGGCCGGCGATGCTGCCTTTGTAAGCCCAGAGCTTCGCCTCCACGATGCTGCAACCGAGGTTAGCGAGGACGGCAAAGATCTCAGAGAGGAGTCCAGGGCGGTCGGTGCCGACGAGCTCTAGGGTCGTGAAGGCCTCGATGTCTCGAGATCCGGTGGTGAAGTCGTCTTCTTCGGTGCCTAGAGAACGCTCAATATAAGCTATGACGCGCTTGTCGGTGACTTTCTGGCCGTATCTGTCAGTAACATGGAAAACGTTCATGAACCAGCAGCCGTCGGAAGAGATGTATGCCTTTCTTATCGACAGATCGAGGTCGGTGAGCACCTGCACGGCCTCAAGAAGTATCACATCTCTCCTCGCACTATCGACCTGGATTCAGAATATGAGCGTTAAGATTCGATCAAATCCTCTTTCACCACGCCGGACGAGAACGAATAGAATTAGGGGAGGAGCAGAGTTGAACAGTTAATTACCTTAACCAGAGTTGCCGTGGCGCAAACCGTATTATCGATGACGACCCTGCAGGAGAATTCAAAAGTGCAGACAAATCGAACATCAGTAAGAAAAACTTCCAGATCTGTACGATTAATCGAACTGTTGCCGATTTAATCATGGGAAATGAAAAAAAAAAAAAAAAAAAAAAAAACAGAGGAGCTCAATCCGATCGAAGAAAATCTAAAGCGAAAACAAATTGAAGATGAATTGAGAGGAGGTGCCAAAACCTCGGTGTATTCATCCGGATCACAAGCTTCTCGTATTCGTCCGGAGATGCTTGCCATTCCATTTCTCAAAAAATCCCTAAATCGCAGCAGGAAATCTCTCTCTCTCTCTCTCTCTCGCAGTCTCGCTCCCTTTCTCTGTCTTGGTTGCTTGCTGCCGCTGGTTCTGATATTTGAATATGTAAGGAGTGAGGAGTAAGGACAGCCGAACGCGCACAGGCTGGAAGTCTCGGGGAGGAGATCTTTTGTAGTATTTAAAGTCCAATTACTGCGAGTACACGCAAATCGGAAGGTCACATAGAGGTGGTTGCCCGTTAATTTAGTTGAAAATATTTATACAAATTATTTCTAAGCTTTTTAAGATTAAAATTTACATAAAAAATTAAATGAGAATATTATCATCATAATTTAATTATTTATTATTATATTTATTTAATATAAATCTTTGAATCACATCAACAACAACAACAAACAACAACAACATCAAGCCTTTATCCCACTACGTGGGGTCGGCTACATGAATCCTTTTTCTCCATTGTGTCCTTTGAATCACATAATGATTAAAAATTAATTTAGATATTTTGAGCTATTTTACATTGTTATGTTTTAAAAAGAACTGTGTGAGCTCACCCTTGCTGAGCCACGTGGCTGCAAATATCTGCTTGTTATTATCCTCATCTCCCTCTCCATCCACTTGCTTCACCACTTGAAGAGCACATAATTTCTTCCCCCTCCCCTCTTGTGATAGATTTTCTTCTAAATTATTCTCTTGTAGATATATGTGATGTGGAGGGGACCCAATCATATTCACCATCTTTAGTATAACCATCAAAATCATATACTCGGCCTATAGCTTCTAATCATTTTTCTAAGTAAAATTCATGAGGTAGTTGTTGTTAAGAATATGGATATTATTCAAACTTCTAAACTATTTATGATAAAGTTCAATGGTTTGCTCAACCCTTCTATTTTATATAGTGATTATCGACGATCAAGAAGGTAGACGTTGATTTTGATAGTAACGACATACATCAATGTTGATGGCAACAATGAGATTTATTGTTGCTCGTAATGTAATTAAGGTGATAGTATTATTACGATGACACGAGTTGATCTTCATGGAGATGATAAGTGTCAATATTGATGATGGATGTTGACATTACTGGTGATGATAAGTATCAGCATTTATGGGGATTGCGTGCATTGGCTTTAGTGGCAACAACAAAAGTCAATATTATTTGCAGTGATTAGTGTATGCCTAATTAGTGACAGGGGCGTCGACCATATTGATGATAAGATTGTCAGAGTTGATGGCACTGACACACATCATCTTTATTGATAATATTATATATCAATCTTGTTAGTGATGCGAGATATCAATCTTATTGGAGATAATGAATATTGGCAATGATTAAGATGGTAGCATCGACATTGTTTGTGACAACAAGCCTTAGCCTTGTTGGTGGGGACAGGGGGATTGGCCTTGTTGGTGATAATGGATGACAATCTCATTGGCGATATATTGTATCAACATTAGCGATGATGATGGACATCAACTTTGGTAATGATGTTGACATCTCACTTATTGGACAAAATTGACATTAACCAATAGCGATAATCATTGACAATGGTAGCTATTGATGATGATTAGAGCATGCTAGTAGAAAAACTCTGAAATATATCTTTTGAATCTCATGGCCTCCTTTTGCCATCTCTAATGTGTAGAAGTAGATCTTATTAATTATTTTTAGATGAGACATTTTGATCAGGAATCAAAAAAATCTATCAGACAAATTTTATTAATCTCATTTAATGTAAAACCCTTAAGAAAAAAAAAACTAAACTCTTAAACATTGAGATATCTTTTGGTGTATTGATTAAAATTTCATTAGAAACTCCACGGTTAGGAGTGTTTGTATGGGAGCACTCCTAGGATGAGTGACATTTTGGGAAGTTATACCACAGAACATAACCATGAGTTCGCTAAGCTAAAGCAGATAGTTTCTTGACAATTGAAAGCTTGACTATTACTAAATAGCATCTGAGCAGACCACTAGCCAAAAGATGAGAATTTTATCTTTAGAATCCTATATGCATTGATGATTCTAGGTCGAGGAAACTGGCGAGGACATTGGCTATCTAAGTGGGGGAGATCGTGAAATCTCTTAATATAATAAAGTTAAACTCTTAAACATCGAGGAACATTTTGGTATAACGATTAAATTTTAGTAGAAACTCCAAATTTATGTGAGCTTGTATAAGAATCATGCATCCTAGGATAGTAGGATGGGTGACCTCCTAAGAAGTTACAACCCTAAACCCTAAACCGTCAGGCTATTACATTTGTTGAAGCGAACATTATTTTGAAGACTAAGAGTTTGGGATGTTACACTTAATTATATAATATTTTTTATAAACAGTGCAACAACAGAGTGAAAATATTCAACAAAATGGTCAAAAACAAAGACAGAGATCCCAGCGTTTCTGAAAAATAGATTTCTGAATTTAAGATTAATTGGCAGAACTCGTCATTTCAGAGAAGAGTTTGCAATTATGTTTTAGCTTTTCCAATTCTTTATTTATTTTTGTGTTTTATGTATTTTATTAGCTGTAGAAGAGTTGTGCAGATAGATGTTTTGGATTTGGCTTTGGTAGGCTTTGCTGATGCAGCCTTGTTTTGTGAAGATTTATAGATATATATCACAAAGAGGGAAATCAGGCCACCTAAGTGCTTGATTTTGTTAATGAAATTGCATATGCTTGTTGTTTTCTGAACCAAGTCATGGAAAAGAACAGTTATCTTATTTGGATGTTGCCAATTCTAACGACTCAATTCATGGGATAGAAGCAATCAGGTTTCATTTGGGATAACTTTCGTATTGTTTTTTAAAGCAGTTCTTTGGTACAAAAAATTTTTGAATTAGGAATTTTAAACTAAAAAGTTTCTTAAGAAAGCGGTCTCAAACAAAGCCGAAGTCTCTACACATGTTTATTAATAAACCGAGGAATCAAAAGATGATTGAATGTAAATGAATTTACATGGGGAAGGAGGCTGTACATGAAAATGAAAATTTCAAATATAAGGCAAGATTGAGTGCTTAAGGTTTTATGAGGGAAAAAAATACATCTATCAGAGTCATTTTTTCTATTGTTGCCATTTGCCAATTTAGAAAATGGATGTTAGAATAACATTTTTATTCCATGAAAATTTTGAAGAGAAAGTTAACATGTGGCAGCCGGAAGCTTTTGTGGAAGGAAGTCATAAATAAGTTTGTCTTCATAAGAGACCCATTTATATCTTAAAATAATCTTTTAGATAGTGGAAGGTTTTATTTGATTATTTCATTAAGAAATCTTGTTATGTGTGGAATTTGATTGTGTTGATCAAACGGATTGTTCTTTTTCTTTTTGCCGTATTCATGAGCGCCCCATTCTGATAGACAGAGAGCAGAGCTCCACAGTACTTTGGTTTCGTTGCAACAGCAACGCAACAAGTTCGGCGCTGCAACACTGTAAGTTTGAGCACCACAACATAATTAGATAGAGGTTTGAGCGCTGCAGAGCCCCAAACTGACATCGCGGTGCTGCGAGTCGGAATAAACGGTTTTCTTTCTCATTTTTTTTCTAAAGGCTTGCGTCCCTTGGAGTTATCTACTAAGATTTCTCATGTATTTCTCAGATAGTAAGATATTTGGAATGGTGCATATGAGAAGAGAAGTAAGAAGAGAGTGAGAGAGTGAAGAGATATCTATACTTATTTCTTTTAATTTTCATAATGGATTTTTTGATGTGGTGTAGATCCATAGTTATTTTCCTATTTTAGATTTTTATATGTTAAATTCTGATATCCTTTATTTTTCCGTTGCTTTTACTTTCTTGCTAGTTTCGTCATTGTAGTGTTTACTCCTCATCCCCAACAAGTCTCATTTTACAAGTTACAAACTTGAGAATTATATGTGGCTCAAAAGAAAAGTACTTGATTATAGTGTTTTGGTATGCTTCTTGTTATATTTAGATAACATTTTGATAGAAAACAAGGGTCTGGAAGGATTCTGGGAATTCAGCTCAACACAAATAGATAGCAGCGATATCTGTCTCTTTCATAAAAGCAGTGCATGTTGATAAATGTTTTATTTTGTACGATTTTTTTGCTGTTTTTTAGAGTTATTTTTTAGTTAAAAAGATTTTTTAAATTAATTTTTTTTACCAGAAAGCTGCTTTAGAAAGCAAAAATTTATTACCTTATAATTTAGAAAGCTGCTTTATAATATAATATATATATTCTTAATAATTTTTTTTTATTTCTTTTGCTGTTATTATTATGTAATTATTTTTATAAAAAAATTTACATTATGATTATTTGACTAGTTTTATCCTCTCTCAACTACCTAACACAATTCCTTCATTTTTCTCATCCAAAGTTTTAGATTTAATGAAGAAAATGATTCATGTAAGTATGTAACTGACCCAGGTAGTGATATAAATATTTGATATTATTATTGTTGTAACTTTATAAAAAAATTATAGCCACCAAAAAAATACTCTTAGTTATTAGTTTATTACCACAACACATCATGCCAACTAACTATTGTCTTATAATTCACGTATTTACATATTTTATTTGTCTTTGCATTGGTTGGGTGGAATTTTTTTGAACCAAGGCAATATATTTCACTTTCTGTTTATGAGAATAATTCTATAATATGAAAAAAAATCATATGGTTTATACATTTATATTGTTCTATCCTTGAACATTCGTGTCGGGAAAGAGATATAGAACTTAGTGTCCTAATTTTGTACGAAGATCTAGTACAGTGTACACTGACAGATCATAGAGAGAGAGAGGGATGCAACATTCAGTAGAGACACCAAATTTTTTACGCAAAACTCTTGAAAAGGGAAAAACGATGGGGTCTTGCTCAGTTTAAATGAATCCACTAGTGTACAAATGACACTGCTCGTGAGAAGGTATAGGTTCAATGTAGAAAATATGCATCATATAAAGCATTTTACATGACTGGGGCTGCAAGTACTTAATGTCATGAGAGTTTTTCATAAAAGAGTGTTTGCATGTTCATTTGATTGGTAGGATTGTATTTGGATGATAGAGGTTAGAAGGACAGTAGTTTGGTAACGGTGGTCGGATGGACCTTAGTCAGCAAACGGAGATGGTCTTAAGTACTATAGTTGGAAAGTGATGGAGGTTGAAAGGACCGTAGTCAGGTAACAGTGGT